ATCGATTTGGGTGATTGTGGATCGTCTTACCAAGACCGCTCATTTCCTACCTGTCAAGACAACTTATCGACCACCTCAATATGCCGAGAAGTATATTGCAGAAATTGTGAGGTTGCATGGTATACCAAAGACTATAGTATCCGATAGGGGGCCACAGTTCACGGCTCACTTTTGGGAACATTTACACAAAGGCTTGGGAACTAGTTTGATTCGTAGTACCGCTTATCATCCTCAGACAGATGGTCAGACTGAACGAGTGAATGTTGTTCTGGAGGATATGTTAAGAGCCTGTGTGTTGTCTTCTAGGGGATCATGGGAGTCATGGCTACCATTAGATGAGTTTGCTTACAATAATAGTTATCAAGAAAGCATCAAGATGGCCCCATTCGAAGCTTTGTATGGCAGAAAATGTAGAACACCACTAAATTGGGTCGAGCCAGGAGATAGAAGGTATTATGGCATTGACTTTGTAGAAGAGGCCGAGAAGAAAATTCATATTATTCAACAAAATATGAAGGTGGCCCAATCGCATCAGAAAAGTTATGCAGACAGAAGAAGGAGACCCCTTGTGTTTGAAGTTGGTGACTATGTCTATCTGAAGGTCACGCCAATGAAGAAGAAACGGTTTGGAGTTCGGAGAAAGCTTGCCGCTAGATTTGTAGGACCATACAAGATCTTGGAAAGAAGAGGTCCAGTAGCTTATAAGTTAGAGTTACCTGAGACAATGAGTACCGTCTTCCCAGTTTTCCATGTATCACATCTCAAGAAGTGTTTGCGTGTTCCGAAGGAAAGAATAGAACCTCGAGGCATCCAACTCAAATCAGATTTGGTGTATCGTGAGCAACCGGTCCGTGTGTTAGACACTAAAGAACGTGCTACTCAGAATAGTGTGGTGAAAACATACAAGATATAGTGGAATCATCATGATGAGGAGGATGCAACTTGGGAAACGGGAGAATATCTACAAAAAGCTTATGAAGATTTTTATAACAAATGGTTCGTAACACAAATCTCAGGACGAGATTTTTATAAGGGGGGAGGGCTGTAACACCTCGGTGTTAAGCATGCACTAACATTCCATCCCATGAACATAATCATCATCACCTCATGCATAAGCATCATTCACGCATTCCATTTCGAAAGAAATGAAGTATCATTTCATGTGATGCTTAAGTTGATTGAAAATTTATTCATGTTTCAAACGATGTGAAATGCCATGCTCATGTTTGGATGCCATGGTTCTTGTTTTGATCACTAAGATAGCTTATAAATGTTTAGGATACAAATTGGAGCCAAGTTCATATTCAAAGTTTTGCCAAATTTTGCTTTTAAACAATTCTTCAAAATTAGGGTTTTGAATTAATATTGATGTTTATTTTGTAATTCAAAATCTATTTGGAATTGGACTGTGGTCATAAAAGCAAAGTTGTAGATATTGAAAAATGGAACAACTTTCATTTTTACACCAACTTTTAAAATTGCTTTGAAATTGCTCAAAATTTTGCATTGAAGGAAATGGGGATAGAAAATAAATTAAAAAAATCACATTTCACTTGAATGGGCCGCAGCCTCGCTTTCGGCCCAGCCGCTCACGCCAGCCCGGCCTGCCTTAGCGCCGCGCCGCGCCTGTTCCCGCATGCCGCACCCGACCGCGTCAGGGCGCGCTCGCCGCGTGGCTGCCATGCGCCGGCGACGCACGCCGCGCGGCAGCCACGGCCTGCCCCGCGCCCTCCTGTCGCGCCTTCACCTTCCCGGCCGCGCTGTGCTCCTTCTCACTCCCCACTCCACTCTCTCGCTCGCTCAGCAGCAGCAATAGCCACAGCAATGATCGCTCCGCTGCGCGCCATCGCCAGCGTAGCCGTTCCGGCCACGCCAGACCACCGGAGCCCGCTACATCTTCGCTACGCCTTTGCCCCGGTCTCACGCAGCTCGTGCTCATCACAGTTCGGCGTGGTAAGGCCCGAGCCGGCCGCTATTACTCGCCGAAGCATGGCCGAGCTCACCGGTGAGCTCCGCTCCCATGGACTTCCCAGCTTCGCTTCCTTGCCCGCCTTTCTTTCTCACGCACGAGCACCGCACTGCACCGTTGAGTCTCCCGAGCACCTCCTCTCGCCCTGCCATGGCCGGAGACGCTCCACCGGCGACAACCCACGCTGCCGCTCCGCCATGCACGGTAGCGGTCGGCTTCCCGTGCTCTTTGGACCATGCCACGAGCACCGCGGGGGTTCGCGTGGGTGTGGGGAGCACGCCGGTCACCTTCACCGGACCAAAGACCTCACCATCGGTGAGCTCTCGCCGCCGGTGATCTCCTCTGTTTTGGTTCGGCTGGCAGGTGGGGTCCCGCTGAACCCTAGGCCCATTTGTCTGTCCCTGTGTGTGCACACGCGTGTTCAGATCCGGGTGCACCCAGCATTTTCGTCGGCTGGTTTTAAAAAGGATTTAAGAAATGCTTTTTCAGAATTCTGTTAAATGCTTTGGAAATTATAACTTGCTCAAATTTGCTCCAAATTTGTTCAAACAAATTTTGTTGTGTTCCTTGTCACCAGATCTACATGATAAAAATATTGCATGTCATTTTTGAGATACTTTTCTGTAGAGCTTTATTTAATCCTTGATATTGCTGATATCTTGTAAAATGTGTAGTAAAACCTATATGTATCAGAAAAATATGCTTCCAAGTTTGTTACTCTTCTTGTGTAATGTACTTCCTAGGAAAAATATATGCCATGCATGTCCTGTAGAAAAATTGTGAAAAGTAGTTCAAGTGCCTTTAATGGCTGATTTTTGTTATTTTTGCTAGAGAGCAAAATTTGTATAAAACATGCATGTGATAATTTTTGTACAGTGATTATTTGCTGTGTAGAATATAGGAAAAATATTACATCTGTTGTTTGACACTTTTCATAATACAAAGTATTTTCATGCTCATAATTAGGTCCAAGCTTGTCATTTTTGTGTAGGCTATTCCACTTATCCAAATGCCATAAAAATATGATGGTAGACTACTTAGGGTAGTACTGTGTTATGATAATTTTCTAAGATTTTTCTAAGCTATAAAAATAGATGTTGCTATTCAAACCTATTATTAATTAGGGTTTAATCAAATGTTGCTTTATGCATGATTAAGGAATTAGTGAAGCTTTGATGTATCTTTGAAGCATTTAATGAGATGTGTTGACTTAGCATATTAGTAGTAGAAGAGAATGCAGTAGATGACATGTGCTTGTAGTACATGTTCTTGGATGATGTTGACTACCTTGCATTCAAGCATATCCATTGTGCTCATTTCATCCGATGCACCTTTTGCATAAGCACTTACGCACATGCATCATACAGGATCGCAAACCGAGAACCCAGTCGTCATACCCGAGGAGCCCGAGGAACAGCTCGAGGTGCAGCCGTAGGAAGTGACCGAAGCAGACGAGGAGGACGTTGAGGAACTTCCGGAGTGCCCCGATCACCGCCCGAGCTCCTTCGAGAGAGGCAAGCCCCGAAGCATTTTTCTCCCCGGTTTGCAATTTTTAATTAAATGCTTTACTTTAATTGATGCATTATGTTCAGGAGTTGTTTGCAACCGTTGCTGCATTATACCTTGTCTACCTTTGTTATACTATATCCTTGTTACCCTGGTATCCGCAGCCGAGTCAATGCTTAGCTGGCTTAGACCGGTAGAAGTCGGGTGATTTCCTGTCACCTGCAAGCTATAGGTGGTTAATTGGATCTACTTGGAGAACTATGTAGTCATGGTATAACTAAGTGTTAAATGAAGTTGAGAACGGACGGAGACTTACAGAGTTTTGGACTGTAGTGCTTTCCATCTGTGTCGATTAAGGGCCAACCGTTGTTGGGCCTCAGGTCATGTTGAACGCATGCCTTACATTTAGCTGACCGTATAAAGTACATTTCGACCGCGAAGCTGGGAGATTATTCGGGCTGAGTAGATTGCCCGCAGCGCACTGTGCCGGAGCAGGTGTGGTAGGACACGGGGGCACGATGATAAGACCAAATGGCAGTCGGTCGGCCCCCGGGTACATGTGGTTCCTGGCAAACTCGAGATTCTTGGATAGTTGACTCGGTGATCGATACCTCACTTTAGCGGGTGAGTGAGGTTTGTGTAAGGAATAAATCACCAGCTGGTTAGGAATCGATTCGAATCGCCATCGCTCTTGGATAGCGAGCACTTGACTTGAGTGATTTCATCGTAGTAATGTTGATGGAACACTTGGACAGTTATAATGAATATGATATTATGAAAGTTGTTAATGATCATTGGTTATCATTATTTGTTTAATCACATGTTTGCTCTAGTATAGGTGCAAATGTAGTCGATAGGTTAATAATAATTAACTTGACAATAATGCTTTTGGAAAGGTTCTTGAAATACTAAAAATGCCGCTTTCTACAAATGAGTCAGCTACCCTACTATAAAGCTCTTCATAATCCTTGGTGTCACTTTATTTTCGGTTATGTCGGGTAAGTCTAGCTGAGTACCTTCTCGTACTCAGGGTTTTATTCCCACTTGTTGTAAATGGGCAGATGTATTACGGCTACTGTATCAACTGCCTTTATCCTACGATGGGTGATGCTTAGGACCATGGGCATTGTCATTCCTTACGTCTCGTCTGATGCTTTTGTTGGAGATGATCATTAGCTGGCACTGTATTTGAACTCCATGTGAGTGTGTGTGGTTTTGAACAAATAGCTTCCGCTACTTCTATTTGAACTCGTTTTGTAATAACTATGTTTAAACTCTGATGTATCTGAGATGCGAACTTTTATATAATATGTGATGGTGACCGCTAAACTTATTACGATCTTGGCTGGTATGTGAGTTGGTTTGAAATCCTTCGTGATTTCACGGACTACCGGGTTATACGGGCTTAAGTTTGCTAAATCGTCTGCTCTGGCGGATGATTTTTCTTAATTTCGTATAATTGGTCGGTTCTGTTACAGTACCCGATACGGCATGGCGTGGGATGAGGTTGTGTTCCTCAGGTGTCTTATATAAACATGAACAAAGGACTCAAAGGGCTGTAACGTTGGCAGTACCTAATTCTCATCTTCCTCGTAAGTTTTACATCTGTCTCAGCCCTAGCTCTCGCCACGGTCACCGCGCCGTCGTCGGTGTTCGCGTTCCAGGCCGCGCAGCTGCGTCGAGTTCCAACAATGGAGGCGGCGATGGTGTATCCGATAGCGATGCCGACGAGGTTGGCGTACTGGATGACGCCGCAGAGCCTGACCTTGGCGCCGCCGAGGATGCTGCGCACGGCCTCCGTGTACGTGTAGTTGCGCTTCCCGGTCCCGGCGTCCGACTCCGGGTCGCCGGCGCCGCAGTGGTAGCACTCGGCGAGCAGCGTGGAGGTGTAGTAGCTGATGCCGGCGAAGAGCAGCATCATGGCGGTGCCCACCGCCCAGCCCAGCTGCGCCATCGCCCACGCAAGGGACAGGACGCCGGCGCCGATCACCGCCGTGATGATGTGCGCGCTCGCCGTCCACACGGTGCCCGTCCGCCGCGGCCGCCCGTCGTCGTCTAGCCGCATGGCGTCGTCGTCGGCGAGGTTGCCCGCCTCCACTGACACCTCCAACTCCTCCCTGCTGCCCACGTGGTCTGCTGCCTTCGCGGCCATCACGCACGGCTAGTCTTTCCGCCGGCCGGCTGGACGTCCTCTAGAAGCTGCTTCGAACCAGTGTGATGATCAGGTAGCTAGCAGGGAGGCACTATGGTACTAAACTTTAGCGTGCTGCGATGAGCATGTATATATATGTGTACATATATTATATTATAATAGTGATGAGTGGTGTTGGTTGGTGGGAAAAATGGTGGTGGTGGGAGTGGCTGTTTGTTCGAATTCCTACCGCGTGGAGAGTTAGGGGGAGAAGTCTGGTTTCCTTTCTAACTTCTGCCAAAGGTGGCAGCAGACAACGGCACAACGCCGCCGGTAGCAACTCCGCAGCGCTTCCGTTCGTGGGTCCTGCTCTGATCACGCTCCCATTCTGGCATTCTGCACGCTTGTCTTCTCAATTATCAATTATTAATTTATCATCACCGACGAACAAAAAAGTTCACGACTTAAATCGAGTCTAGTTATATACTACATGGACAACATATTTCATAAAAATCATACTAGGTTTTACAAATGCTTATGCCAAATATTTGTTCTAGACCTCCAAGAGGAGGGAAAAAACAGAAAGAAAAAAAAGTGTTTCGGGCCCGTGCGGGTCAAATATACACCACACCCTGACCCAAAGACACCTGTGGGTCCAACCCGCACCCACACCCTAACAGGTGCAGCGCCCGTGGGCACCCGCACTCGCGGGTGTGACTGCCATCTCTAGTCTTATTTTCTGTGTTGGTTGGGGACGAAAAAGTGGGATCAACCATCTGACCTATGCGGTCCCATCTGCTAGTCTCTTTTCTTTCTTTTTTTTTCTCTTCCTTCTTTCTTTCATGGTCTTGCTTTCCTATACATGCATCCATGATCCATTGAAACCACGACGCCATCACCGATCCACCATCCACGGGCGCTCGTGACAGACAAATCCAGAGCCTGCAAGGCGAGGCCAGGAGCAGAGCTTGCTTGCATAGCAATAGATCAAACCCACACTATAATGCGATGGGAGTGGATCTCGCCCAAACGGCGTCAGAGTCAGATTCTGATCCACAGCGTCGGCCTCCACTCCACCAACCTCCGCCCACACCCCTGGCTTGGTGCCCCCCGAGCTCCGCTCGCGCCTGTGCCACTGTGCTCGACGGCTTCGCGAGCTCCGTCGGTGCCCCATACCGTTGACACCCCGTTGAGACCACAGACCCGCACCGCCCTCTATCACTCGCGACCTCCGTCCTTTGCTGCACCCGAAGCATCACCTCACCCCTGCACATCAGCCATGCCTATGCACACCTCTACTTCTTGCTCGCGTACGTGGAGCGCTCATCCCACTTAGGACAAACTCGTCCGTGAAATTTCTCGGGACGAGTTGAACCCGCATATAGAGGGTATATTCCCTAGTGGAATTGTCCCGTCTCTGACTATCCCTAAACCATGCAAATACCATGCGAAAGTGGGTATCCCACATGCAACCATCCTATCACTCTAACCAAACACTACCTAAAGGACCAGAACAGACAATCAGAATGCGGTGAATGGGAGTTAATTTTTTCGTCGAACAAATGAGTTATGATATAGCTATTAGCCCCTTGAAGTTATGATAAAGCTTTGTGACCCCTCAGTTCTAAAGAAGAATTAGTGTTCAGCTCAATGAAGTCTTTACTTGTATTATATTTTGAAATTGGGTATATAAAATGTTGTACTATAAAGGCAGGATACGGATCCACACAGACTTGAGGAAGATAAAGTGCTCAAAGATCTGACAAAGCCCTTGAGAGACATATACACTTTGCAGAGAAAACATGTTTGACTGCTTTAGAAACTTAGTGTCCCGATGTTCTGGACATGTCAGTTATCAAAGTTTGACTGGTGTTCAAAACTTTCTGATGTCCAAAAGTTCCTGACCGAGTAACTTCGTGGACATCTCACGGGCCTAACCCACGCACAAGTAGGTCCCCGTCAAGCCTCTCCCGGACCACTCCTAGCCTGCCGTCCTCTACTATGAGATATTCAGCCAAAATGCTGAGGGCCTCTAGCCCCTCAACTCATACGGCTACTCCACAAACGCAGTTGGAGGATCTCACAATACTTACAAGCCTCGATGTGTACAACTCATGGTTCTCGTAAGCACCGATATCAAGCAGGTATATATGCAAAACTCAATAAACTCTAGTTCGAAAACTAAAGCCAGCACTAAAGCGGTCTCTAACTAGCACGTGATGGCTAGAGCACAACGATATGTGTGCCTCTGTTCAATTAAAATCTCTGCACACTCTATGGCCAGTCTCAATGGCAAGTTTCATTTCGCTATTTCCAAGACTGCCACGTCAGTTTACAACCTTAGATTGAAAAATGAAACTACCTCTCTCAATGCACTGTTTCATTGCACTGTTTCATAGACAATCTGTAGCATTTAATTTTGCATGGTGTTGTGATCAAATGTGTCATGTGCAATATGTGGCCATTTGGAATTGTTATCACTTTGGCGTTATTATCACACTGGTGTTGCTATCACACGCCAAAAAAAAGTATATTAAACACAGGACGATGAAGCGTTCAGTTAGAAAAATGAAGTACATTAAACATGCCAAATGCCGATAACATTCAGATAGATGTTCATCTGATCGAGAAAAAAAACATTCAGATAGCCTCTCAAAGTTCACTTCATAGACATTCAAGGGCAGGCTAGCAGCCAAATCTTGACATTGGTGATTTCCCAAACAGCGTGCACTCCAGCTTCTGAAAATGAAGTGGTGAACAAAAAAAGTTACTGCTGTCCTGTAGAAGATGGAGTAGTGAATATAAAAAAGGTTACTGCAGCTAAATCACTCATATACAGCAGCTTGCTAAATCACTCACATACTGCAGCTAATGTGTATACAAGAAACAAAGAAATTTATAGCAAAACAAAAGAATGACTCATGACCATGGAGAACTAATTCCAGCCAGGTTCATGCAGTCAGATCACTGCTGTCCTGCACAAAACTCAAATGCTGAAACCAAATTTCCTATCTGCTACTGCTATATGTGTATACAAGAACTGAATCTCATTTCAGAACTGAGTAAGGTGCAGACAAGAGTAGAATTTACTAAGGTGCAAACAACAGCAGAATTCAATTAAGTAAGGTGCATCTCTTCTGTGCTACAAGAACTGAACTGCATAACTGATGCTCTTAACTTGATGCAAATATGAAATAGGAGAGCAGACAACAACAGAACCTGATGGGGATAAAAAGCCCTGTGAGCTTACCACATATTTCGACGGCGTCCGAACTTGTTCCAAATATGTTCCACCAAATCTTTCTTCAACCGATGATGCGCCGAACGATCCCGAATGTCACTATCTTTCTCTAAAACTCTTTCAAATGTAACATATTGGTCGGGAGAGAATTCCGGTTCTTCGACAATCACTGTACTTGGAGCCTCATTCAAATCAAGATTCTCTTCCAGGTCATCTTCCTTTTCATCTTCAACTATCATATTGTGAAGTATGATGCAAGCTAGCACAACATTGTGGAGTTGATCCCGGTCATATAGACGAGCTGGTTGTTTTAAAATGCAAAATCGATGGCGCAATACACCAAAGGCCCGTTCAATATCCTTTCTTGCTCCTTCTTGTTCCTGTGCATATAACTTATCCTTTTCGGAGATGGGCATCGATATTGACTTCACAAATATAGCCCAATCCGGATATATTCCATCAGCAAGATAGTACCCTATGTTGTGTTGATTCCCGTTGACCATGTATTAGACTCTAGGAGCTTGTCCCTTTAGCTCTTCAATAAATATAATAGACTGGTTCAAAACATTGATGTCATTGTTAGAACCCGCAACCCCAAAGAACGCATGCCAAATCCAGAGATCATGTGATGCCACGGCCTCAAGAATTATCATCGGCACTTTCTGATCACCTTGAGTAAACTGCCCTTCCATGCAGTTGGGCATCTTTCCCAGTGCCAATGCATATAGTCAATGGTGCCAAACATACCAGGAAATCCTCGTTTCTCGCCAATTTTGAGAAAATGCTCAGTATTCTCCACAGTCGGACGCCTCAAATATTGTTCACCAAATATTGATATAATACCTTGCACAATAGAGAGAAAAAGGGGTCTAGACATACGAAATCTTCGGCGAAAAATATTGGAAGAATAAACAGGATTTTCAGAGAAATAATCATCCACTAGACGCTAACTGAATTCCTCATGAGGCCTTCTGATGTACTTCCGCGGATGCAATCGATGATCGTCCGCCTCTTTTTGAAGTGCTTCCATGCTACTCTTCAGAACCCCCATGGCTTGATCGAGTACCTCATCCAGGATGTCATCCTCAGCGATGAAATCATCCAAAGTATTGTGATCTGACATGTTTGGCGCATGGTCTTCTTGCGGAAATCCCCTAACATATCAAATGAATCTGATTAAATTGCAGGTACAAGCATATTCTAGTACCAAGTTGCTGAAATGAATAACACCATTGACAGATTGCAAAATCCTTTTGGTATGGCATGTTCTTGTTTGAGTGGCTCAGCTCACATAACATTTGCAATTCAGAAATGCACATGGTTACAGATTCATACTTCATAAAAAAAAAACAATGCAGGAACAATGTAGGAGCAATTTCACTGCATTCAGAAATTGACATGGTTACAGACTAGAGTGCAACACTTGAAATTCATGCTCTAGGGTTAATTCAACAATAAGGAAGTAGATTACCACATATTTGCATACTGATTTCCTTGTGGTGAGTGACCTGCTCCACTGCTACCGCTGGATTTGGGCCACAAACCATCAATCGATGGCAGCGGTGGCTGCAGGGGGAAGGGGAACCCCGCCTGAGGTGGCGCAGCAGATGGGGGTGGCGCAGCAGACGGTGGCGCAGCCGGCGAAGTGGATTTGTTGGTGGTCTTCCTGCCGCGGCGTCATGGAGGCGCTGCAGCATCGCCGGCCATGCCGGCCCTATTCGGCGCTTGCCGATGCCACCCCCACTTGCCGATGCTGCCGCCGCGAGATTGGATTGGAGGAGGCGCCTGTGAAACAAATCGGAGCTGGGAAACAAATCTGCCGCCGCGAGACTGGAAGGAGGCGACCTGGGGAGCAAATCGGAGCTGGAGATTGGCTTTGGCGCGAGAAAAAGGAAGGGCAAGGCGGGAGACGACGCGGGGACCGAAAATCTGCGCGCGTCTCGCAGGAGATCCCGCGGAGCTGATGAAATGAAACTCCGGGCTCTCAACGGGGTTTCATCCGCGTTTCATCGTCTGGGTACGCGAGCTGCTCGGTTTCCTCCGCATGAAACTCTGTTCCTCTCCCTTCTCATTAATAGATTACCAACTCAGCTAATATGTTGACATGTCATCTTATTAAATGAGAATGAAACCCAGCTAAAATTCTCACTGACACTGGCGTAACCTAACTCCAAATGATCGGAGGTGTGGGTATATATAGCTCCACAAACACCAACTAGCCATTTGGAGCTAGGACTTCCTTTGATTTGCCTAGTGTACCGAAGCTCATCAATGACCATACCGGAGAAATCTGTTGTCCTTTATTATATCAATCAACTAGTCGTTGCCAACTGTTGGATCATAACTCTGATAGCTTGTTTGGCGCACCACCAGAGATAAATCCGGTGCACAGTACAGGTGCTCTCTAGAATGCACCTCATAATTAAGTTGTTGATGCGTGAAAAACTTCAAATGTGACCAAATGAACTCATCGCAAAAAATGCAACGGTAGCGATCCATCAATGATGTGCTGGTAGGTTCATATTCTCCTCCTGGTCATCTACTCATCTTCCTCGTGAAGTTTCTGGAAATGCCGTAGTACTAGTGACCGGCCGGCCGTCTAAGCTGGCACATCTGTTCCTCAATCTTTTTCAGAAATCAGGGCAAGTTAAACGGACAACTTCTTTTAAAAAGTATAGATACCTCATATTTTTTTCTCTCTCTCTCTTTATTTTCTTCACTTAGGATGATTTTACAGTTCCTTCTCATCTGGGGAATATGCATATACATCCATTTAGCTACAGGCCACGCACCTCGCGGTCATGATCTCTTTTAGATAAGGCCGCCGTCATGATATATTGACACATCCGCCCTTATGAGCATATGACCATATGTTCTACGTGTGAATTGCCACATGGCATTCTAGCAGGACGATTCATCAGTAAAGTTGCCGACACAAAAAACCAATTGTATCAACATCATTCATGTGAAAAGTAACAGAGGAAAAAACATTGCGAAGACTGAACCAAAATTTCTTGCTGCCTATCACCACGTAGGGTAGGTAGAAACGGATCAGATGCGGTCTGGATAGTGCACTTTCTACACTTAGCAGCGATCTCTTTTTTTTTCTCCGTTCAGCTTATCCCATATCCGGCTTGTTTGGCTTGTTTTTCAGCCGGAACAGTGTTTCTCTCTCACAACAATTCAACCAGAACAGTATTTTCCAGCCAGTTTCAGCTAAGATTTAGCAAGCCGAACAGGGCCAAAATGTGAAGTTTCAAGAGAGTTTGTGATTAGCACGTGGCATTCTTTTCACTTGGAAAGATTTTACGAGACGTCGTCTATCCAAGCTTGATGATGATGGTAGAGAAGCACGTCAAGGATACATATATTAATGTTGTAAAAAAAGGATACATATATTAAAGAAGACCCAATCGATTGAAAAAAAATGGTCCAAGAAATAACTTTTGTTTGGACAAGTATAAAGAGCTCTTTATAATGATTGGGAAGGACGTACCATTCTTACTTACAGGTACTTCTTCATTATATAAGACAATTTTCAAGATGTCAATAGGCCGGAATGCCGGATCACACCATGACTTTTTGAGAGATTACTCTTGGCGAGAATTATTGTGGCAATATACTTGATCGCCGGGCTTTGACACTGTCAAGTTCCGGTAAACAACCAAATACCCTTGATCGCCACAACACGGGCCCTCGCGTCGCTCCCAGGGGACGACACGGGCGGCGACCAAACCACCGCGCCGCCAGCCCCACCTTCGCCCTTCCCTGCGTCTCGCTGCCGACGGAGCACTCTGCCGGAGTCCGTGCGTGTGCTAGGATGGTGGCGGCGGGGCCTAATCCCCCCTTAATCTCTGTGGCTTCGGCGCATCTGCTGGGTACCTCGGCCAGCCAGATCCGCAGCGATGGCGCTCCTCGTAAAGCTGCAGTATGGCCGGCGGCGGCTATGTGGCAGTGTGGAGGCTGCACGGGCACGGCAACGTCGATTGCTGCAGCGCGTGCGCAGAGGCATGTTCCTACATCGTGCGTGGAGGCACCGGTGGAGGAGCGATGCCGGTGTTCAGCCGGAGCTCGGATCCGGGGCCCCGGGGCTGGAGGCGCCGTTTAGGCCTGCTTCTGGCCGTCTTGGACTTCGCCGGCGGCTACGACAGCGGCGGCAGCTCCGATCAGCAGATCTGGCACTCTGGCAGCCGGATCTGGCACTCCCGGAGTCAGTTCTGGTGTTCCCGGCGTGCGGCGCCAGCGACGAGGACGGAGGCCGACATCGGCGCGTGGGCCACGGCAACTCGGCTGTGGGCAATGCCTCCTGACGGCCGGACCTACAGGGGGAGCCGGGCAGCCGGCTACCACCTCATGGCGGCGCGGATGGCTAGCTGCATGGCGAGCAGCGCGGCAGGTCGCGCGATGGTGGTACTGCGGGCACTGGAGGACGCGGCGGCGGCTTCGGGCGGTGCCTGTGCTGGTGTATATGCGACGCACGGGGTTGAGGTGCCATGGCGAAAGCTACGTCCAGTGGACTGATGGTGGCGACGCCTATGGGCGCCATATTCTTTCTTGGAAGCGCCCATCGATTCGCCCTTCTCCCCTACGTGGCGTGCTCTTCATGGGTGTAAAACCTTGACCTTTTGGTCAGGCCACGGTGGCGTCACGTTCCTCCTTGGAGGCGTCATTTTGGAAGCTCGTGCCTGTAAGTTTGTGTCTGCCGCCTCCATCATGGCGTGAAGGTGGAGGCCTAGCTAAGGATTCAAGTTTCCGGTGTCCATTGCGGCGGAAGGTGGCCGGGAGGGGGATTTGGCGTGGTGATTCGAGGATTTCGCATCTGTCTGGCAGTTGAGTTGTGACCACGAAGTTGATGACGATGCCGACGTGGAAGGCGCCCACAGAGTTGGCGAGGAGGCCGACGTGGGAGGTGGTGCTAGCAGACTAGCGTTGCCGATGACCTGAGTGGAGGCTTCTGACCGGCAGCCGGAGGGCATGTGTGGCACTTGTACCTCGATGAGACAGCTAGGTTACTGGAAGCTACGGTGTGTGCGTGTGGATCTCGGCAGACGGGGTCGGCTTGGTGTGCGCCTAAGGCAACTCCTCTAGCGTAGGTTTAGCAGTTTGCAGTGGCTTGTGGCGGGTAGCCCTACTTCGCAATGGCTATTCCGGTGTGGGACAACATCTTGAGAGATGGCGTAAGCAGAACTGATTGTAGAGGAGCTACACAGCTTGCAGCGGATTACAGCGGCTAGCCCTGCTTAGTAGCGCTTGAAAGCTCTAGTTTGGTTTTAATGAATTGATGAAACCCTAAGTGCTAACCCAGTTTATCAAAGTGATCATGAGATAGGTAGCACTATTCCAAGTGATGGAGCAATGGTGAAGATCATGATGATGGTGTGGAGACCGTGATGATCAAGTTTTTGGACTTGGAAAATAAGAAAGAAAAAAACAAAAAGCTCAAGGCAAAGGTGAAACTTAATAGAAGCCTTTTAGTTTGGTGATCGAGACACTTAGTGAGTGTGATCACATTTAGGATAGATGGTCGTACTATTAAGAAGGGAGCTCTTATCAGATAACTCGATCATCTAGTGCCACTAGGTGTTGAAATACTTGCATTGCATTTTAGGCCTAGTGCACATTCGGTGAGAAGTGTTTAACCTTTGAAAACTGATTATGAAAATGCTAACACACTTGCATGCGATGGTGAAACACTTGGAGTGTTAGCACATTTACAAAGGTGGTGAGAAATATGAAGAAACAGAGATGAAACTCGGCTTGGGTGCTGCCACTGAGGCATCGCCACCCCTGTCGTGGTGATGGGATGGAGGCCGAGAGCAGCGGGTTGTCCTAGGGGGCACCGCCACCCTGTTCGGTGGCACCGCCACATGGTGCCCACCTAGACTTTGGCCAAGAGCAGCAGTGGAGGCACGGGCACCGGTGCGTCCTGTGTTCACCGCCATGGAGAGGTCTGTACACCACTATTGGTGGGGCGTGGCACTGCATGTTTTATCCAGAGAGCAAGGGAAGGGCTATAGGGCACCGCCATGGGCACCGCTGCCCTGATGGCGGTGCACCGTCATAAAAGTCCAGAGGAGGGGTGTTACACCCTAAATCATTTACTAAAACATGCCATGAGCATCATGTTTATGTGTTAATGCATGTGATGTGTAGATAAATTTCTTGTAACTTAAAATAATCAATAAAAATGTTGAATGAAAGTTGATTCAGTAGCTCATGTATATCAAGTAGGGTTGAAAACCAATTTTTATTAAGCAAAAATACTATAGAACATGTGTGTGATACTTAAATAAAGTTTGAAGTACAAACTTTGTAGGTGAAAGTGAAATACTTGCTGTCGAATAATGATAGTACTAGGTAATATTTCTACTATCCTAGAAATTGCAAATTGAAATCAAGTTCAGCTCAAAAACTTAGAAAAATTTCAAGTTTGTCAACAGCTAGACATTGTTATATTTAGCAAATTATTTTGAGAGATTGGGTTAAGGGGTGGTGCAGTGTTATAGCTCGATTTGGTAGTCTCATATGCCATCTTGAGTATGGTGAAGATGGTTTGGCTTCTAAAGCAACCGTTTAACTGTTTTGGGCGCTTTAAATTTTGTGCACGACTCGGTCTCGGGCTGGTTGGCCGCGTGGGCGCGGTCACCACGCTCAGGCTCTCGGCGTCGCCATGCTGGCAGTCCCGCGCGCACGCGCGCTGCCGCGTGTGCTGGCCATGGCTGCTCTGGCCTGGCTGTGGTCTGGCCATGGCTGGTTCCTGGTGCGTGGAGCCACTGCTGCTGCTTGCATAGCCGGGCGGTGCTGCCGCCGGCCCCGTCGCACTACCGACCACCGCGCGTCGCGACGCAGCTGCTGCCGGTGTCGTTGCCTCGCCGTCATGTATGTGCCTCCCTCTGCATCTCTACGCCACTGTCAGCCCAGTGCAATGCCACCTTTGCCGCGCGCACATGGCCGGGCTCACCGT